ATTACAATGATTAACTATCAAACCATCAATTATCTAGCAACGGCCTAAATACTTAATAAAAATGAAAGTTATCGAATATTCTCGAATGTGCTAAATGATCGTTGTTACCGCCTATATCGTTTCGATTTACAAGAAAAGCGTAACTTTGTATAACTTGTTCAGTTTTGTCTACACACTATTATCAGAAGGATCTGACTGTTCTGATAAATCTGTCAGATAAAAGTAACCTTGTGTATCGGGCTAACAGTAACTAGACTTTTTAAAGAAATACTCTTATCTTTTTGATATTATAAGGTTGCGTAGTGATATTACGCGGTGAACATTTATGTCGCACAATTCCCGAGTCACAGTATTTACTAATTGATAAAACATGTAAGAAGTTACTTTAGTCAGTCGCCAACTTAATACAAAATCTTGTGATCCAAAAACCTTTTTCACATACTTTTAGTAATTGATTTATATAATTGTTATTTTGTCTTTTAACTTATGAAAAAAAGAGATATTCACTTTTAAAATAACTATAAATTACGAACAATTTAGAAGACAGGGACCCACTTAATAGTTCCTACTCGTTTGTCGTTAGAAATTAAAACAAACTACAGAACTGGTAGACTCCGTGTGTTTAGAAAGCACAAGTGCGTTTTTATTGACACCATGTTTAAATATCCTATTTACCTAGACTTTCCATTAACTAAAACTTCCCAAACAAATGATTTTATTTATTTAATTTTATAATAGCGACTACTTCTAATAATAATCATTTATACAAAAGACCAAGGGACCATTTGAGCTCTTATGATGCGAATACCAAATAGCGAAAAGCAGCACCAATAGACATCTGTAACAATTAAAAGAGTTGCAAATGCATTGTCTTTGTTCTTTGTCAGATCAGTAAATAAACAGAGTAAGGGATATTTCCCTTTCCCCACGAAGATTGAAAATGAGATTTCATCATCGATCACAGATCAGTGAACGGTTAAAAAATACAGTAAAATAAATATATCGAAGAAATTTAAATGAAATATAAAGTGTCGAAGAAAGTTTATAAAGAGCCACCACAAGAGTTGTCGAGTGAACGCCCACATTCGAAGTTAATTATAAAAAAGGGCAGCCGGTTAAGAATGTAAATATCGAAAGCACTCACTTCAATTACACTGCGAACAGCTCTTGAAACAATTTTGGGCATCCTTAAAGATTGCTACTTTTAAATCAAAGACAAATAAAATTGTTTTTTAATTTAATTTAGTACTTGCCAGCTGTTTCTCGCGACTTCGCCAGCGTGAAATTAAAGAAAAATACAGCCTATTTTTCTCACTGATAAAATAGCTTTATAATGGTGTAAGAATTTTTAAAATCTGCCTAGTAGTTTTCGAGTTATTTCAATATATACAAAAATACATATCTTTCCTTTTTATAATACTAGTATAGATAAAAACGTCATTAATTTGTAATATTGATATTACTAAAACCGTGTACTTGTCAAATAAATAACTTACTAGCTTCCGCCCGCGACCCCGTCCGCGTGGAATTTAAAAAAAAAAACAAAAGTGAGTAGTAGCCTATATGTTCTTCCGGACTATCCTCTACATCTATACCAAATTTCATCGAAATCCGTTCAGCCGTTTAGGCTAAAAACTTTAACTAACATCCATCCATCCATCCATCTAAACTTTCGCATTTATAATATTAGTATGAAGTATGAAGTATGAAGTATGAAGTATGAAGTATGAAGTATGAAGTATGAAGTATGAAGTATGAAGTATGAAGTATGAAGTATGAAGTAAGAAGTATGAAGTATGAAGTATGAAGTATGAAGTATGAAATATGAATTATGAAGTATGATTAACGCGACCCGTTACAATTTAACATAAACCTGAAGTATTAACTATTTCCTTTTTAATGTAATCAATTGATTTAAATGTAGAACATTTTCACCAATTTCGTTTCGCCACTCCTATACATTGAACCGTCTCGCATAACAAGTAGGTTTATAGCCCAATATTCAGATGTGGTTTGTCTTCTAATTTACATTGTCAAGGTCACTGACCTTAAATAACTAATCCGAAGGTAAACACACCATAATTGTAGTCCCTTTTATGACACCCTTATACAATAAGGAAACAATAACTAGCATAATACGGCGTAACCCTCAAAAATATAATTTATTTTCAATCAATCAAATGTACTGGCCTATAAATATTATTATTTTAATTTTTGGAATATTTAACTGTCTATTAAACATTGTTTATTTCATTAAGCTAGCATTCTTAGTTTACGAGATTTAGGGCCTGTCCCACCACTGGCTGATAAAGGCTCATATAGCTTAAAAATGACGTCACTGTCAGATAAAGTAACAAGATCCGATATTTCCGTCACATATTTTACACGTTGGATTGTTATCAGACAATTTACAATTTTGTGGGACAGGCCCTTGTAGTTTTTTGTTTATATGACCCGGATACAATGTTCCTGAGTGTATTAAGGCTCGAAAGTACATTAATCGAATTTAGTAGTCAAATCATTTGTTTCTACAATTTCTGAAATACTTATTTTCAGATATTTTCTGGAGATTTATAAGATGATTCAGTACGTAAAGGAAAGGTAAGGAATGTTAAGAAAGTTCGCTGGCTGTCTGTACGTGCTCTGTTTGCCAGGTCTACCACAAAAAGGTATTGATTGTGATTCTTGAGGTGCTAGCTCATTTAGATTCGTAGGAAGATTCCATGCGAACATTCGAACGCGACTTAACAACATTTAGAATGGACAGACACTAGAAAAACATTCAAATGCTGAATTAATTAAATCTCGGAGTATTAATATTCTATTTCAAATAATAAATTACAAATTAAATATACCGATGTTTAATATTATAATAAGAAAATTGGTCGTTATTGATATTGTAAAAACTTTAAAAGTAATGTTAGAAATTCTTTCACCATTTAAAAGTGAGAGTATCCAGGGAACATATTTTAACAATTGGAACTCACCCAAGCAATACCAGGCAATAACAACTAGTTTATAAAACACTTCTTTACAACTAAAGTCTAGTAAGTTAACATAAATGTAAGTTTAACTACCTAATATGCACAATAAGGTGCAGCCGTGAATAACAAATTTGTTCCCTTGACCGCATTTAGATAAATAAAGATCGGTGAAAATAGCAGACGTTACTAGGAAAACGCAAAAACACTTTCTTCAGTAAAATAACTGGGGGCATTCTAAACTAGAATTTATTGTACCACATTCTTTTGCGTCGGTGCTTATTTACTTTTGGCAGAATACTTGACCAAGATAAATCTATTAGGAGTAGTCAAGCAGTTTAATTCATTATCAAGCAAGTATATTAACGTAGTTTTTCTTGCGTAGCAAGATAGTTTGTTGATATTTTTTAATCTTTAACGTCATCTTATTGTTTGGGAATGAATATGTCGTATGCGATAATTAGGCAATAGCATTATACATACAGTTCTTTAGCGAAAATTAATTAAAAACGGCTCAACTCACGCTTTGTTCCTCCGGTGACGGCACCGACTAGTTTCGGATCCTTCGGGGATCCTTCTTCAGGGCGAGTATTATTTAACTTTTGTTCGCGGTCGCGTCGCGCCTCGCACTGCGAGGAGGAACAAAGCGTGAGTTGAGCCGTTTTTAATTAATTTTCGCTTGAAGTAATGTCTCACGATAGTTTAAACAGTTCTTTATAATAAAAGGGGGCAAAAGAGCGGCGAGAACGCCGAGGTGGTAAACACTAGAGGTTCTATAGATGCGTTAAGCCTTTGAAGAAAAGATAGGCTCGCTTCTTGAAGGAACTTAAGGACAGTACAGATAAACAACTATTAGGAAAAAAACACAGAAGGGAGCAGCCTTTTATAATAAAAGCAACCTATAATAACGTATACATGATTTTCTTTTGTAATGTGCTAATAAAAACAAAAAATGTAAAATAATTCCGGTTAAAGCAATTGGAAAGTAATTTTTGGCAATTTAAAATTCGTACCAGATAATCCTGCCGAATTCTACAATTTATGGAACCTGTATATTTGACACGATGTATAAAAGTAGGTTAGAAAACAAGTTGTTAAACAAGATATTCTGTTTATAGTCTGCGATTAGGAACCAGTCGAAAGTCAACACCTGTTACTACAAAACATCCAGTACAATAATCATTTAACCTTAAAGACAAACAAGACAAATATTAGAAATATACTGAGTATAAGCAAAATTTGTACTAATATTTGTTAACATTCAGTTTATTCCTAAGTTTAACTTTATACCGCGTTTATTTGTAAGGCTGAAAGACATTAAAAAGAAAGAATGGGAAACAAAAGTGAATTTGACTCTGGAGGAAACACAGGAAGGGAAAATATCTATGTGTCTGTCATGACTTCTACTCCGTTAATCTACAATTGATGTCTATGGGTAGAAGTCGCTTAGTTATTTCAGCGAATTTATGTGGCCGCTTGCTTGTTAGCCACCTTATCATATAAAAAAGACCTGGGAAGAAAAGACCTATCATATAAAATAGGTCTCAAACTAGTCAGTGATGGCACCGGAATAGTGAGTTTAGTTAGTTTACATTTCTGTGGGTGTAATTATTTCTTGCCTAGGTGGTATTTGAGGTTATTCTTAAATCATGGATCACGAACCAAAATATATATTTCTCATGTTAATCTTACTAATATTGTATATGCGAAAGTTTAGATGGATGGATGTTTGTTAGAGTTTGTAGCCTAAACGGTTGAACTGATCTCGATGAAATTTGACATGAACGTAGAGGATAATATGGAAGAACATATAGGCTACTCACTTTTATATTTTTTAAATTCCACACGGACTGAGACGCGGGCGAAAGCTAGTCATGTCTATAAAGTTGTTGATAGGATAACGATGTACAAAAATTATAGAACAAACAATGATTCATACCTGATAATGGTATGCTACCAACGTCCCGTCCAACACATTAACCATGTCCCATACAATATTGATAACAATTCCCTTTTGTTAGTCTCACTTTATTCCTCGAATGAGTAATACGTTTTGAAGTTACAAACTATTTTTTAAAATACCGTCAATTTTACCGTAACAAAATAGAAGATTAAAAAAATAGTTGTTGAGTAAGAGTTTATAGGGAATTATGGCAAAAATAGTGTTTTTGTTCGGTATTTTAGTTATTTCATTCCACGTTGCTTTTGCAAGGATTGTGAATAAGAGAAAATGTCCTGAAGTACGCGCTGTTCCGCATTTCGATTTGTCACAGGTAAGTTTTTGTTTATAAATCCTACGAACTAATAATATTGCAAAAGCTTAAATGAACGGATGTTTCTTAGAGTGTACAAACCGCTCATCGGATCTCGATGAAGATATTGATTATATTCTGAAAGAACAAATAGTTGGATTGCTTTTGCTTTTGTAACTCACCGCGTACGAATTCGCGGGCGAAATCTAGTGAATTATAAAATAAAACTGTAATATATTTAACTTTACCCATTTTAAATTAAAAAATAGATATTTAGAAATTTTAAAAGCATAAAGTTATTTTAAAGATTATAAAAATAAACAGACTAGCGATATAACTATTGAATTAAATTATAGATTTTTCTAGAACTAGCAATAAAAATGCTAACATATTTACCTCATGTTTCGCTATATTATAATAACCAGTAAAAGTTTTAGATTTTATTTCTATCGAAAATATGAAAGTAAATTAGAAATATGCAAAAATTACAATCATATCTAGATGACACGTTCTTTTAAATGTTGAATAATGTTTTAAATTAACATAATAAAATGAGTAACGAATTAACCGAGGACTTACACTGCAAAACACTTGTATTAAAAGAAAACATTGTCTCTCTTTGGTTCTATGAGGATGAGAAGGACGACAATATGTTTTTAGACAAGTTTTATGTAGTGTAAATTGACGTAGAATATTTAAAACTGTTGCAAGCGAGCTTTGAGCGTAGGTGGCGGATATTTGATAACGATTGTATAAAATGTTACTTGTGTGGACAAACTGACAAGAGAATATTTAACTAAACATAAATACTTTTTTGTTCAGTCTTTTTTTTATATTTGTTAAGCTAGCGCTTGACCACGACCCCACCTGGAGGAAGTAACGATGCTGTCGAAGGTGGTACGCGCTAGGTTTTTAGGTAGCTGTTTACTCTCCTTTTGAAGTCTTTTATTAATAGAGAGAATATTGTTTGTTAAAAACGTCATTTCAGTGGTAGACATAGTAATTAAGTGCAAATTAACTAATCGGATGTTTGCCCTAATTTAATTTATTTACTAAATAATACTAAAACAAATAAATAGTTTTGTATACGACCATTACAAGTCATTAATCACTTGTAATAAGTTTCCGACAGTAGCGTCATCCATAGGTTCTAATTTTCAATCTTGACCATCCCAATTTCCACTTAAACAAGTAAATATTTAACACGGCCGTGGGACTCATTCTTATTTTTAATATGGTAATTAAAAATAATTATCAGTAATTCTATAAAAATGTAGAGAAAGTTTTATCTTCACACTACGTTTCTTTCATTTACTTTCATCTATTTTTAGATTAATATCGTAAATGTCAAAAACCTACAATTTTATTTATGAATGCGTTGACATGGTCACATGCTATAAATTCAACAACTAATTGACACAGTTTGCAAATCTTAAATGTAGTGCAAAAAGTGTCTTATGTCGCTTATTTTAGGGTAACTATACCCTTATCACGTGTGTAAACTCCGCTCATACAAATATTTTTATAGCATACATCTCCCGGCAACCGAAAACGCGTGGATTATTCCTAACAATTACCCCGCTCTGTCCCCACAGATGAGAATTACAAGTTTCATCCGTCCCACCTTTTGCGACGGATTGACTGTTAGGACTTATTTTGTTTCTTAACGGTTCCGTCTGTCACATTATTGGTGATAGTGGGACTAAAAGGTGGAACGGATGAAACTTTTTATTCTCATCTGTTCCCGCGTGGGGACAGAGCGGCGTGACGGTTGGGAATAATCCCAACGCGTGTGCGTTCCTCTAGTGTTACCAATATCCGTGGCCATCATATCAACTAACTTTAAGTGTTCCGCATTATATTTTCCCTCTATAAAAACGGCACCTACTTGTTTCTACTGTTTCCATTAATAATATCTAAGTTATTAATTACATCTTTGTAGAAAACTTTGTATCCGGGTTTTCACTTTTAAATTCAGCACAAGTGAGTTAAAAATGTCTATTGTAAGTCACAGTATTGATTTGAAACAACAATAGTGTGGGTCTTTCAAATTGACAGCTCAATAAAATCATTTGCATACATTATTATATCACAATAGAACTATGGTTAAACCGATATGCTTCGAAGCTAATGTTAACCGATATACTGATACGCGGTACGTTTTCACTTTCAATTAGCTAGAGTTATGAATATATTACAATAGTAAATACATCGGATAATGTTTGCATAGATTTTTATCTTTAACTTGCTGTTTTAAATTATATTTAAATACAATAATAGAGACATTAGCAAGTGCAGTTTGTATCTTACGAATTTGTAATTTTGTTTTTTTTTAACTGTTTATTGAGATGGAATATTTTATGTTTTAGTAATTTTGGGTCAGCCTATGATAACATCCATACTATCTACGTGTTAGGTGACACCTACAAAAATAGTCTTAGCAATATTTCATTTCTAAAAATATTAGGCGCATATAAATAAATATTCAACTTTGTCTTCGACATTTTCAGATGCTGGGAGATTGGTACGTGGTGGAGTATTACGCCAGTGCTGAGGAAGCTCTTTCATATAGCTGTATGAGAGCAGTACTCACTGAAGATGATCATGTTCAAACTGCAGGTTAATTGTCTCTTTTAAGATCTGCCAAAATGTTGACGCGCGTGTGTTTAGATTGTTGTGTTTAAATAATTAATAACGATTGTAATCCCTCTTTTCAGATGGGTCAGTGGAATGGACGCCGGGCGTGACTATGAACTTCACATATCGGTTCGCGGACGACCCTCTCGGAGAGAACTTGCTCGGGAACATAACGTGGCGAGTTGATTTGAACGAGCCCGCGCACTGGACTCATTCTGAACTCACATGTAAGCAGATAAAGGTCTAAATTCATGGGGTCTCACTAAACAATGCTTCGGAGACGTTAGTTTTCGTTTGTTAAATTGCAAATCCAATATTAATTGCAGTGTTAAGAAATATTAACTAGGTCCTTTACGCAGTATTTACTATTTGTACGAGTGATTTCTGTATGATATTATATTGCCCTTCTTGATTAATTTTTTAATCTGTCCAACAGACTTTTTTACTTATCATTCATGAAACTAGTAAGATAATACTTTAGTAAGTGATTGTAATTTTTAATACGTTTATCTCAATGCAATTTTTACAATGAATTACATTACACTGACTTATTTTGATTACTTTTTTGCTAGTTAGTATTCCCATTGCTACAATATAGGCTTTCCTAAATTCCGACGGTAGCGAAAAAAGCATGAATTGGATGTGAGGCAAACACGCCTTGCCTAATGGCTCGCCCATTCTTAATACACTAGAGGAAATATATTTCCTTTATACAATCGATTTCAATTACGATAAAAAAATGTCTTACATTACGCACCTGATTGATACAAAGTGGGTGGAGGACGGGGTGTTCATGTAATGCGATAATGTTTTAGCTTGTAGTTTTTGAAACTAGTTTTAATATATTGTACAATTATTTATGTCTTAAGTATTGGTTACTTTGATATATGCTTAACTTAAGTAACTAAAGCTACACGGCCGTTTTGTTACGTATTTAATTTTCAAAACCACTTTAAAAATAAAATTGATTAGTTTAGATAAGACTCCTATTAGAAGTAGTCGTTGTTGGACTAGACAGGCGTGAAACGGGAGCAATTCCGCGTTTCATCTGATGAGTGTGGTGCCGGAGGCCTAATTTTAGGCCCCTTTCCGTTCCACCCTTTTCTTACAAGGAAAGGTTTGGATGGAAAAGTGGCTTTGACGGTGGAGGGGACGCATAGGAAGGGGAAATATCCATTTTAAGTGCGTCTCCTCCTTCGCCGATTTAGGGTAGGCAACGCATCTGCAATTGCGAATGTCTATGGGTAGCGGTCGCTTCGCCATTTTGGCGGATTTAGGTCGCAGTTTGCTCGTTTGCCACCTTATTGTATAAAAAAAATTTTTAGGAACTTTATATACTTAGACTTAGGAACTTAGATACTTATATACTTTAGAACATTAATTGTATAACATTTCTTATTCCTCATAGATGATGGCATTTACAACACATACGTACTGGATACGGAGTACAAAACCTGGGCGTTGTTACTGCATTGCGCGGAGCAGAGAGAGGGCGCGCGGTACTTGAGTGCATTTGTTTTGTCCAGAAAGACAACTCTGCCTAAGAATGTGATGGCATACTTAAGGGATAAACTTCCAAGGTAATTATATTGTTATTTCGATAATAGAGAAAACAAAAGAATGTTCTAAGCAACATAGTAGTGTATATTAAATTTAGTTAAGAAAATAGAAGATAGGGAAAGAGAACTATACTTTTTTGACTAGAAAATTTTAACCTATACTTATTTCCACAAATCTATATAAGTAAATCATACTTCTGATTGTATCGATCTTATTATATGAATATTATAAATGCGAAAGTTTAGATGGATGGATGGATAGATGTTTATTAGAGTTTTAAACCTAAACGAATTAACGGATCTCGATGAAATTTGGCATAGATATAGAATATAATCTGGAAGACATAGGCCACTCATTTTTTAAAAATTCTATTCGGACCGAGTCACGGGCGGAAGCTAGTATAAAAAAAAATGTGAGCGAAATATTTTAAATAAACCAGGACATTCTACTTTCATGTGTTGACTGATGTATTCTAATGAGAAACGTTCATTTTTCAGATATGACGTGGATATAAAATACGTGTTCCCTATACCACACAATGAGTGTTCGTCGACTCCGGCTAAATACAACTATTCACCGATACTAGTAGAGGCTGGTAGCAAGACTATAAAACGACCCGGAATTGCTTACAATACTAATTAAATGTTTATAAATATTATTCAACTGTGATTGTAAAGTTGCGGTCGTATTCAGAAACATAAATTATAAGATTTTTTTCACAATATTCATTTAATTCAAGTCTTTGAGTGTTTATTACAATTTTAAACGCGATAATTGATGTAATTAAGTACATACGTATTTTGCTTGTTTTCTAAAATGATTGAATGCTATTAAAACGTATATGTGTGAAAATAGAATAAAATAATTGTATTTCAAATTGTAAGATGTTGAATTCATATTTCAGATCAATGTAAATATTTTTTTATATGGAGTATACATAATGAGATAATTTTTATTCTCTCTCTCTTCTTTTCCTATGTCCACAGTACGCCGCCAGCTCGCTCTGTCTTAGGCTATGCGTTTTGTCTCGGACCATGACAGGTCGATTGGCTTCAATTTATTATGCACGTTATTAAATAGCGACAAAAATATTATCATTTCATTTAAAATTCATGGATTATTACTAAATCAACAATATCGCATTTTTTTAAGCATACGTAATCAATATTAAAATAACTTGGATGATCTTTCTTACAAGTTAACAAAGTGACAAATCATACCATAAAATGTGTTAAGAACCTTGCTGTTATATGGTTAGTTTACAAGAAAATTTGCATAAGTACATTTTTATACCAAATTACAATTCATATTTCAAAACTAACATTAAGTGGAAACAATATGTAGTGTGTTCAAGAATTCATAGCTCAGGGACATTGTTCTTTAGAATAATTAGTATTCCGAAGACCGTACGTCTGCATCCTATACAATGAGACACAAGTCTGTTACACACACGTATGAGTTGACATTCAAAGTTGACCGTGTCCAAACACTGCAGAACTACAATGCACAAGTAACATTAAATATCTTCAAGTAAACAAACGCCTGTTCCACATTATAATTTCTAACAAACAATTGAAGGACTTTTGTCAAAGATTAAAAGATCGCTAGAATTTAAGTTAGGTATTAAGGGACGATTATTTGAAACACTGAACAATAATGAGTAAGTATTTGCGGATATAATTAAATTAAATCCAATGTTGGTTTGTTTAAATATTCGCTTTTAATTAAGTAATAACGTTTAAATCTTTTAGCACTAGCCTTGATAGTCATAGTATCTGAGGTTAACCAAAATCTCACCGAAACTTATTTTAGATTCACTGTGTTGGTTGGAAAAACGTAAAAACATTTTTGGGTAGATTTATATTTTATTCGATAGAAGCAGAACCAATGAGGAAATCAACCAGAAGGCTTTAAAATATAAATGTGTACCTACTTCTCTGATCAGATATTAATGTCCATTTTTGTTAACAATCCTTTCTGAAGAACTTATAGTCTTTGACAAAGCACCTATTGGTAATTCGTCCAGCTTGCGTAAAGGCAGCGTTATTATAAGTATGAAAGGAACTGCCTGAATGGTTTTCATATTACAACAACAAACATGAGTGTTGTGAGGACGTGCTTATACTTGCTGGTGTTATTAGTGAATTTTAACCATGCAGTGGGCAAGGTTTGTGATTATTTGACATATTGTCATAATTTATAGTCACCATATAGAAGTTTCACATTATCAAATCTTAGCGCAGCCATTTTTAAATAACGCAATGTCATTTTAGTTGTTCACAAACTAGTTGGTACCTTAACTGGACTATGCCTTCCAATTCTAGTTCCAAATGGTATTCTCGAATGACATCATATCTTACTCCTTGTTTATACTTATCCTATTTATCTTTTAACTATAAAGATCTTAAATAAGGTGATGCCTTTGTTAACATTTCTTTAACTTCTGGAGTTTTCTAGAATTTGATCTTCAATTTTAAATATTATCTAGCCAATGTTCGGCGGTTTGTTCTGGTGTGACATGTTCTGCGATGATGACTATGATGACGTGAGCACAACGACGAGCACCAGCACAGAGGATATGTTTGACTTCTTCGATGTCTGCGCCGGCTGCCCTACGGCAAGACCTTCCACGAGAAGACCGATAAACAACTTCCCTCCTCTAAACTTTGAAATACGTAAGTCCACCGAATTTTCGACCTGAACTCTTCCTTAAATTTTCAATTTTGTTGTGCCTTGATCACAAATTACACTTTTCGTTGCTTGATGCTTGCTTTATCTGAAGCCTTCGTCTTAGAATGTCTCGGAATTAAAATTTATTTGCTGAACAAAAGGCTTCCTTTAACAAGCCATCTCCGCTTTCGCATTATTCCTGAATATCCAAGCCATGGTAGGACTTTCCATTCTATTAACATGGCTTTTTATCTTTGATCTGAATTAATTTATTCAGATTTCAGGATTGATATTTATCTATGGACTAGGTGTTGCTCGGGACTTCGCCCGCGTGAAATTAAAAAAAAATTACTCACAGATCCTTTGTAACAGTGAATGAATTTTTAAACTCTGCCCAGTAGTTTTTGAATTAATTCAATACATAAAAAAATACAAATATTAGTATAGATAATTACGTTTTAAATTTATTTCCAGCACCAAACACCGGCATGGGTGTTACTGTATCCAACAGGAATGGTTCGTGGTTTATGAATCTGAATCCCTGGGCGTCACGTAACAGTACACCGTTACCCGCAGCTCCTACTGGTGCCGCCGCCACTACAGCGGGCGGTGGTGGAACTACTACCGTTGCTACTACTACTGCTAAGAAGTAATAGTTATAACAACATTAAATCGCCAAAGCCATTTAGAAAGTAGACCTATGTATAGGTATACAGATTAAGTAACCTCCGTAAAGATGAAGCCTCATTGACGTAAACACAGTAATACGACAAAATTGACATCCCTATCAATCACTTTGAAAAAACAGAGATAACAATTATTGTCGTATTTAAAACGGCTTCAGTATAACTCATAGACCTATTTTTGAATACCTCACCCTGTCTTCATTTGAATCATCTTGTTTAGGTTAGTATGTGAACCTATACTAAGATTTTTATCTATGGCAGTATTTTTATTATAAGTTATTTGTGACACCAGTCATGACAGCAAAGATTTATGATTATTGTTAATGAAAAAAATAAAAACAATAAAAATATCGTATAATCTTTAGATGTTTAATTGATTTTTTCCTGCTTCGAGTACAAACATTTCCCTCTATAGCTTATTATAGATTATGTAAAGTGGCATAACAGGTTTTTGTCCTCTACATAACTACCATACGTCATCTCAGTCATCACTCCCTTTTTGATGATATCTCCGTTCACTCAATCCATCCATCTCTTTCTAGGTCTACCTGTACCGCTGTACCTCCACACTCATAACTAACGTTCTCCTTGTTACATGACATTCATACCTCCTCAAAACAACTATACCAAGCTAACCTTTTACTCTTTTCTTTCTCTCCCACTGGAGCTACTCTCAAACTTCCTCTATATGTGTACGTGTGTTTAAAGTATTTTGAACGTATACTTTAATGTATTTGTCCCTAACATTCATTTGTTTCGCATGTCTCACATATCTAAGTGAGTTTTGCAACCGAATGCGCTGAAACCAGACCACCTCACACGAACTGTGACGGATATATCGAGTTACATCGTGCATTGTAAACACACTTTATCGTTATTCCTATGCACATAATATGAAAGTGAACATAAAACATTAAAACAGTATGACTTTAAAATAACTTGTAAATTAGCCCACTGTCGATAGAAATTTCTAATTTTTTTCTAAGAACATTAGTAGATTTTTATTAATTTACTAATATTTTCTTTAATTATTCCAACTAAGCTCTATGCTTATGCTAGAATACGGTTCACAATAGTTGAATGGCGGGATTCGAATTCTCGACCGCAAGATCGGTAGTCCCTACCCCAAACCATTAGGCTATTGGCTCTTAAAACAAAGTATGGATAAACTGTCATTGCTGTCCAGCATACAATTATAGTGTCTATGTAATCAGTACGTAATGCCTAGTTGAAAATCTACAGGTGATACTCCCCGTATAAAATGTTATATTAAAACACGAAACGTTTGTACCATAAAGTTAGCAATGTATACATTTTAACTGCTTAAATTCGTTAGTGAAAATATCCTTAAATGAAGAACATGATTACAATAATTTACGTCAAATTAAGTCTCACATCAATTCCAGGAACAATTATAAAAATATTCACACTCACATTGCGAATAAAAAGCGACAAGTAAGGTTAACAAAACAGACAAGATGGCACAAAGAGGCTAAGGATTCAATGACCGGTTGATTGCTGCGTCGGATGCCCTTCGAGAGCTTAATTAATGTGCCACTTGCTGTCCGCACAAATTAAATCTATCCCTATTGACTTATTGCATATCTTGCACTTTACCCCTTTTGAATCCATGATTGTTTTCTTTTTTACAGTAACATGTAATATTCTCATAGTAGTCATCATTTCTGGAGATTTTACGCATGAGTTCTAAATTCTGAATACCCCATCTTCATTCAACTGTCGTGTAGATGTAATAGACTATTCCTGTAAATTATATGAATCTTGGGTTTCAACAAAAACAGTACAATCTTCACTTGAGTACCATTATTCTACTGTTATATAACACTCCAAAAGGAAATGAATATAGTAGACCTGCGAGTACCGCTAAATAGGACAGTTATTGGATTTTTATAACATCAAATTTAAATTAGTTAATTTTGTCGTTTATGGATTACCTACTTTATAATGTCTATAAAATCCATTATCAAGCTTCCACCGATTGAAAAATTAATTAATTAAGAGCACTAGCAATTAAATACTTTCTCCTATAATAATGCGCAGGCGCAGCAAGAATGCAACGCTAGTAAACAGTTGAAAAGCGTACACATCGAATGCAACAGGAAGACGGCGTTCATTTTTTAATTAGGAAACAGTCCGGGTAAAAGCAACCTTCCGTCCATACAAGTGAAGCATCGACAATGTCTAATGAAGCCAAGGCACGAATAGTTAGCGATGCGCGCAGGCATGCAAGTGGTCAGTATTCAGTATTACCGCGCATGTCACATCGGACACACGTCCACACTTCCTCAAGTTTTTGTTTATTTCCCGTCTAAGCTCGCGGGGTCAATGACATCCTTGTCAAAATGTTAAGTTCCAAAGTTTACTTTGATTTTAATTTAATGGGAAACAAATGATTGACATTAAGTGTTTTTTTCATGACAACGTAAGTGATCTTGTGCTTTTATTGATTTTTTTCAGTAAATATTCATATATAAGATAATGTTAAATATTTTTATTTCTGTCCAACTATTGTGTGATGTTTCTGATTGAACCGATGCAATCAATAGAAGCAATCGATCCTTTGAGAATAGATTAAACTGCGCAACGGAAAACACCGCTGCTGGATTTCAAGTTTCAAGTTAATTCTATGTTAATTAAGTGTCTGAAACATCAAGCTCAAGATTTTCAAAAAAACTATTATCTTGATAAATTAATCAAATCCTCATCAATTGTTTTAATCGTAATCAATTCATAGACAATAGTTAACTGGGAATATAAATTCTAACCATGGTATGAAAAAACTAGAAGAAAATCTCTCTTGTTACAAAATTCTACAAAAAATGTTGACAAAATCTGTCCTAGTGAATTAGGAATCACTTAGAACATATAATATTAATTTCCTTTTATAGATACCGCAGATCACCCAATAATATTTCTTGCATCAATGAACTCGTAAAACAATAATTTGTAACATAGGCCCGCCTACAGACGATTCGACTTTAATAGCTTCACAAGTAATCACCACAAATATTATGCCAAGTCGTTTGTAAGATTTGCATTATTTCACAAAGGATTTATTACCATTTATTAAGTATTGAATAACTATTATTTTTTACAGGCTACAGAAAAACATAACTCAGAAACTTATAATTTGAAATATCATAAAATTTTACGACTATCAACATGAGAGCTAAGATTATTTTAGTATTATTATGCCTTACTCCGATGATTCTATCAAAAGTTAGAAGATATTCAAGGTTGCAAACGGATCCGTTATCAAAGACGAGGTGTGATTTAGTTTGCTACGATGCAAGAAAGGAAGATAAGGTTCAGGTAAAATTATAAATAATCTTTGTCGTATTACTTTACCCTACTCCTGTAGGGTTGGTGTAACAAGTTTTCGTCCTCCAAAAACTCTATCATATGTCATCTCAGTCATCACTTCCTTCTTGATCATGTCACCTTTCATGCAATCCATCATCTCTTTCCTTAAACCTTTAATTTCCGGGATTTTTAAAGGTTGGCATTTCATAATCCTGCACCTTAATGATTTTAATATAGGAAATCACTTAGTTATGCCCAAATTTCTCTGTAAAATGATTTCTTCTTCTGAATTGAGGAAGTTTGATTTGCAACGTATCTTTGAAACTCGAGATGCACTAACTAAAATCGAAAAATTTGATAAGTGCATTTCGAGAAATGCGAAAAGAAAAATTTAATATCTCAAATCATTTGTCTTGTAAGAAAAAATCATATATAAAGTAGAAATAAGGTATTGCTACAGGTAACCAATCATAATTGTAGGAAACAGAACAGAGAGATCAGAGACTAAATCGACTCTTTCCTGCCTTCTGATGTCCATAAAGGAGGATTTCATCATGAGTGAAATGTGTTCAAGTTGATTATGACCAAGTTAATTACTACACAAAATTGTATGAGCCCTTACAATTCAATGTCTCAATAAACAGAACAGTAAAGAATTAAATGTTTTTGCAAGTCTATGTGAATGTAGACAAAACACCAAAGAAATAAGTGGGTTATGAATCATCAAGTTAACAATTCATTTCAAACTCGATATACAAACGCTAATTAAGTTAGTCAAATGAAACCGAAGTAACGGACGCGTATGAATGACTCCTTGTATTTCAATCATACAATCTAAACATCTTAAATGGTAAAGTCTTTGTTGCAACTTCGTTAAAAGGGTATGGTTCAATTGGAAGTCTTATTATTATATCATGATATTATTGCATTTCTCTAAAGAGTTGTAAATGATAAGCATGCAAGGAATTTCAAGGAAATAGATCCAAATAATTCTTTGTATGCTTTTGGGCCTCCCTTTGGACAGATTAGCTCAATAAGAAACACCCAATTACAACAAAATTAAAATTATAAACATTAAATTTGTTAACCATTCACGTTTTTCTGAATTTAATCAATCCGCTCTCTTGATATATTAAAAATATTGTATAACAAAATACACTCAAAAAATTGTATTATGATAACGGTTGAGTATGACACAACAATAATATTATCTCTACTTAGTCGTTTTACAATGATCCTGGTAATTTGTCTTGCAATAGTAAAATAAACGATTACTAGGCATTTTTAATACCAATTGGTAAGCATATTAACGAGACAACATAAAGGTTTTCAAGTATCCACTAGATGTGAGGACGTCATATTGAGAATATTCTTAGAAGAGCACTTTGCGTATACATTTAGTTAAAATACTCATAGAAAACAGTCCTCTACTCTACTCGAAATTGGAAAAACATTCATTTGGGGAAAGGGACCATAAACTACAAGCTACCAACATCAAGGAAGCAAAGTTACCATGGTTGTCATTTGTGCATTTGAATTATGACAATTGAAAATTTTCATAGATCTCATAACCAAAATAAAGTCTTTATAATTTCATGCGGATGAAGCCGCACGGGAACAGCTAGTGTGAAACACATGTGATGATTGAGTCTTTTTTCAGTGTCGCTCAACATGTCGATCACAAGAGAGGAAGCCAGGCACGTGTCCGAGCACAGACCATCCTCGTTGGGTGGCTTCCTGCATAGAGGCGTGCAACAGTGACGCGCAGTGTGACGGCATCGAGCGATGCTGTAGACATGGCTGCAGCTCTACTTGCAGCGAACCAATTGATCTCCTTACATTAGCAGGTATCATTAGCATTCTGTTCATATGGTCTTAGGGACCACCGTAGGAGAAAGGCACTTATTATTTATGCTTGCTTCGTAATCTATGTCTACAATAAAAGATTCAAGTTCAAATTTTAACGCTACACGACACTATAAGGCTTTTAGGTTATTGCTTAACGATATTTAAGTACTTCTGATTTTCTTTATTGCCACAAATTGATGATATGTTATTGCCGACTAGTCAGTCAAAATTCTGTCGATTTTCCAATTCTGTTTCTTTTCGTAGGACTCCCTGCTTTACCAACTCTGAATGAAATAAAAGAAAGACGTCGTTCGGTAATCATTCAATGGACTGACGGTGTGGGTGACGCGGCGCGCACGGTGCCAGGCAGAGTCCTCTATCTGCTGGAGGAACAACATCACTTAGGACCCAAGTACGAGGAGGCAGGCCTCGGCGACTGGAACCTTCTAATGAGAACTAATAAGTTAGTATTCACCAAGTTTAACAGTAGGTAGAGGCTCGCCCGCTGCAATACCACGACCACACAGAATACAGGTGTGAAGTGAAAGCAATTACACGTTTCGTCGGATAACTGTGGTGCCGAATGCCTAATTTTGGTCCCTTTGGGGAGCTAATACCATTAATATTTTCAGAAAACTGCAATATATCGCTGAATCTTAGATAATCTATAGTTTTCCATTACATTCATGCGTTGCGTTCTACGCATGTGACATGACGTTGTTATGCTTCTCTGTTTTGTTAACGCAAGGTCACACAAGACTACCTCTGTACACCATTCTCTTATAGTCTTAGATTGCCTTTATTATTAAAGTCATCGACCTGATTACCTCAATAGGTTTAATTCGATAAAAAATGTCTTTGATTGATCGATTACTTCATTATCTAATCTACTTGACGTCTGCGATTATTGTCAACGGTTATTTTTAATTAAAAACGTATGAAAACATTAATTATAATCTTAATGTTCCCACTCGCAGTACTAATTAGTTTTTTTTGTTAATTTCTCTGATTACCGTGTCAAGCTTGTCACTATTGATTACGAGTAGTTTAAAAAAAAACTTTTCATTCTGTCGAATGCGAAATACAAACAATCGATAAGCTAAGTTAACAAAAACATCGATAAACGTTTCGATTGCAAGATCCGGTATTGTCAATCCCAAGTCATTTAAACCCGGAGCCAAATAGGAACGAACATCTGTTGTAGCTTGTGTACCAAAATATTCATATAACTATAGCTCTTTGTTTCGATATGGATCGGGTGTAAAAACATTTGACAGCTCTAATTAAATAGACGCTGCGGATTGTATCGCCTTCTAATAAATACTTCGCCGTGTTGGAAAAAGTGAAATCTTTCATGATATTTCGTCTGTATTTTGAAGTTAAATTGGACATTATCTTCAGCTATTTTAAATATGTAGCTATAATTCCTTAATTAGTTAATCTCTAAATCAATTGTTAAAATATTTCTTTATCGATATTCTT